TTCTTTCTTTCTTTCCTTTATTTTGTTCGTTCTTTCTTTCTTTTCTTTCGTTCGTTCTTTCTCTCTTTCGTTCTTTCTTTCCTTCTTTATTTTGTTCGTTCTTTCTTTTTCTCTCTTTCGTTCGTTCTTTCTCTCCCGTTCTTTCTTTCCTTTATTTTGTTCGTTCTTTCTTTCTTTCCTTTCGTTCGTTCTTTCTCTCTTTCGTTCTTTCTTTCCTTTATTTTGTTCGTTCTTTCTTTCTTTTTCTCCCTTTCGTTCGTTCTTTCTTTCGTTCCTTCTTTCTTTATTTTGTTCGTTCTTTCTTTTTCTTTTTCTTTTGTTCGTTTTTTCTCTCTTTCTCTCTTTCTTTCTTTCTTTATTTTGTTCGTTCTTTCTTTTTCTCTTTTGTTCGTTCTTTCTCTCATCCTTTCTTTATTTTGTTCGTTCTTTCTTTTTCTCTTTCGTTCGTTCGTTCTCTCTTTCTTTCTTTATTTTGTTCGTTCTTTCTTTTTTTCTTTTGTTCGTTCTTTCTCTCATTCTTTCTTTATTTTGTTCGTTCGTTCTTTCTCTCTTTCGTTCTTTCTTTTGTTCGTTCTTTCTTTTTCTCTTTTCGGTCGTTCTTTCTCTCTTTCTTTATTTTGTTCGTTCTTTCTTTCTTTTTTCTTTCTTTCGGTCGTTCTTTCTCTCTTTCGTTCTTTCTTTCTTTATTTTGTTCTTTCTTTCTTTTTCTCTTTCGTTCGTTCTTTCTCTCTTTCGTTCCTTCTTTATTTTGTTTGTTCTTTCTTTATTTTGTTAGTTTTCTTTTTCTTTTTCTCTCTCGTTTGTTCTGTCTCTCGTTCTTTCTTTCCTTTATTTTGTTCGTTCTTTCTTTCTTTTTCTCTTTTCGTTCGTTCTTTCTCTCTTTCGTTCTTTCTTTCCTTCTTTATTTTGTTCGTTCTTTCTTTCTTTCGTTTGTTCGTTCTTTCTTTCTTTCTTTCATTTATTTTGTTCGTTCTTTCATTCTTTCGTTTGTTTGTTCTTTCTTTATTTCGTTCATTCTTTTTCTTTCTTTTATTCGTTCTTTCTTTATTTTGTTCGTTCTTTCTTTCTTCTTCTTTCTTCTTCTTTCGTTCGTTCTTTTGTTCTTTCTTTCTTTCTTTCTTTTTCTCTTTCGTTCGTTCGTTTGTTCTT